CATTATTCAATTTTAACAAAAATATTACATGTTTCGTACCTTCCATTTCCACCTGTATCTATCGGTGAATTGGAATTAATTTAATTGTTTGTGCCGAAATTAAATTTTATCTCATTAAAATAGGTAGGCGTAGGGTGTTATGATGTTAATATAACCAGTTAGAGATTTTGGTCATAAGTTGTGAAGGTAATTCCTGGCCTAAATCCGTTCTTGAGCATAAACGGGGAAGAAGGAATGTTGGCGAGTATAACAAAGTTGTGGCGCTGTGGGCCGTAATAAGGGTAAAGATGCCGTATTCCTTATCCTTAAAAAGGAGCACAAACTTAAACACGACAGTATTAATTGTGTGTTCTACTTTAATAAAATAAATAAGTACATGTTCATCGTTCTTCATTTAGTTCGCAAGTGCCCCCCCCCAATTTAAATTTGAATACTAGACAAAAAGAAACTAGGTCCATGTGAACGTCTACCGACACTCTAATTGAAAAGAACATTGACATTATTTCTATCAAAGTTTTGTTTCAGGAGTATGCATAGACAAAAGATGAAAAATATGAAATGTCATAGTTTTTCAAGTATTTGAATTAAAATTAACACTTTCAGGTGGGGATCTGGAAAATCCAGATTCGAAAATCAGCTACAAGATGTACATTATTTCTAAAGAATAATGCGGACAGTAACTTTATCAATGAATGTCAAAGGATCAATGATCAATGCAGACCCGTAGCTCCCCTCCCCCTGCCCAATGAATAAAATAAAAAGTCTTTTTTTTTATTTAAATCCCCCGTCTGTCTTTTAATTTTGGTTTCTTCTTGCAAATGCTTGGATTCGGATATGTTTGACTGTACAAAAACAAATATGGGCGGCCTCCACATAATTTAAAATTTTACATAATATGAAAACTATAAAAAAAAAAAACGCCTTTCCTCAAAAGGGTACACCCACGGCCTCACCGAGCGCTATGAGTTTATTAAAATTATTCAAACTAATTTGAATAAATTAAATCAAAATTGAATAAAACACATCTAACCTTACAGTTTAATTCTTTAATTTAATATCAAAGAAAGCCAGGGAGTCAACGTTCATTAAGAAAATATTTATAAAATGCATGCCATGTAATAACATTGTTTAATTATGAAAAGGAAAAGACCTCTGTAAAATTTCATACCTGGTATCTAACTACTAAAGGAAGATTTTTTTTTTTAATTGCTTATCTTTTTGAAGGTTTTGAAATTTTTTTATCCCTTCTCTCTTTTTTTTTTTTACAAATCAATTTTCTATAAATAGACCAAAGAAGCATTTTTATCCAAAGATATCATCTGGACATAGTTAAAAATTATATGAAAAAATAAATAATGAAATGATAACCTATGTTAAAATAAAAAAAAATCAATTTCACACCACTGCAGCCTCCCCGAGAGCGAGAACAATAGGGACAGTCAGTAAATGTCAGCACTTGTCTAAGTTTTTCAGCAGGGACAGTAAACGGGTTAGTAATTGTCTAAGTTTTTCAGCACCGACTAAGATTGTCAGCACTTTTCTAAGTTTATCAGTACCGGCAGTAAAAAGGTCAGTAATTGTCTAAGTTTTACAGTAACGACAGCACATTGTCAGTAATTTTCTAAGTTTGTCAGTAAAAAATGGGAATGTCAGTACGTTTTTGACTTAGTAGTGCAGGGACCTTCGTTTATACGGTCTCATACGAAGTACCGGTCTCCAAGTCTTTCGGTGGGATTCGAACCTGAATTCGATGTGTGTAACCTTCCCCACTTTCCAAATTATACTTATATTGATGCTTCTTGTTTGAGGTATGTGAGAAGCAAATGCATTAAGTGGATTCCGTGATCCTAAAGAGTCAGAGCGGTATGGTTTTTTGTACTGTTAATCACTTATTAGAAATTTATTTCCGCGTAACTAAGCGAGACAGTGTGATCGCGAAAATTTCTCTCTCGCACATATATAAGTACTATTTACAGTAAGAACAATAACCACAATTCGTAAAAAAAAATTTTGTCATGCTAATAAATAGTTACATGTTATGACTATCTCGCGAAAATAAGATGTCTCGAAAATTAAGTGATCTACAGTAATTTGAAAATTACTTGAATGATATGCGAAATCTTGTTAGATTAATCGTTTTCCTCACAGACTTCGTCCTTATCTTAGATAAAGGTACATTGTATGGAACTTATACTTTCAGTATCTAAGATAAAAAGATGTTTTAGGATGAAAATGACATTCAAGACAAATTTGAGAGAAAATGAATAACGCATACATCAAGACCATATCAACAATTTATCATCGATAGTATAATGTCTAAGTTGTAGGGTTAATTTATCATATTCAGAAATTACATTTACTACAGCAAAATTAGTAACAGATTTATACACACCGGGTATTGAGTTAAAAAAAAACAGTTGACTTTTTTTCACAGATTGAGCAGGAGTAAATTCTGAAAAAAAAGTTTAATAGCTAGGTTGCTTTTTAATATTTTTTATAATGATTTTATATACGAGTATATATTTTTGTAAATGGCTAAAACCCCAAAATGTCATGTACATACAATAAAATAAGTTCAATTATGATCAAAAATGTGAGTATAAGTATAGTTCATGTAGTATCACTATGTGATGTAAGAGATTGATGTATTTCATACTTAATAGAGCTCGTTCGATTATGACATATTAATTATGCCTTTTTGCCTGGTTTAATTCATTTTTAAATTTAACATCTTATATTTTTGAGACCGATTTCCGTGAAATCTATTTAAAATTGCAGCAAGATATTTGTTAAACCACAAAGCATAATTTACGTGTGTATTTGGCCTTTTTTCCCCAAAAAATGTGTATGCACTAGTATTACACAGATCTGTGTTAGAGGGAAATTGGATACCCCAACATCCATGCACGTTTAAAATACTCAATGTGCCAACAATTTGCAATAATCTATTTCCACTCTATATCTTGCTTGAGTCAAACAGTGACATCACGCAAATTGACTTTCACTATACTGTATAACTGTACAACTTTCCACAAACAAAAGAAATTAGCAATCTTCATACGCATATAAAAATCACCCTGTTTATACTTTCATTGTCCCCCGCTTGAAAAGTGGGGGATATTAATTTGGGTTTGTCCGTCCGTCCGTCTTTCTGTAACGCTTTCGTTTCCACTCGATATCTCGAGAACCCTTTGAGCTTTTGCAATGAAATTTAGCATAGCAACTCCCTTTGGACTAAAGAAGACCCCTATTGATTTTGAGGTCATAAGGTCAAAGGTCAAGGTCATAAATAAGCAAATTTTATCTGTTATAACACTTTCGTTTCCACACGATATCTCAAGAACCATTTGAGCTATTGCAATGAAATTATACATAACAACTCCCTGTAGCCTAATGAAGACCCCTATTGATTTTGAGGTCAAAAGGTCAAAGTTCAAGGTCGTAAATTTATACATGCTGTCTTTGTGTAACACTATCATTTCCGGACGATATTTCAAGAAGATTTTTAGCTTATGCAATGTAATTCTATATAAAAACTCCCTAGGACCTCTCTTACCCCTCTCAAAGTGCCCCGCCCCGTTTGTTTTATCAGTATTTATAGCATTACATGTCGCTATTTTTAGCACAGAGGCATGAGGAGAGTTATTGCGTATAAAACAGGTTCTCGGCGGACGTTATGTTCTTATTACATCTATTAGAGCTGATTAATTAATGCTCAATAAAACAAACACCGTGGATTGTGTAAAATTTTGACAATACCGAAAATGAATATATACATATATGTGACTTCATAATTCCATATAATTTGCCTCATTATAGAGCGGCACCGTGGTCTAGTGGTATGTCACTCGCTTCACATGTGAGAGGTCCCGGGTTCGATTCCCAGACGAGGCATTATCTTTTCTTTTCTTTTTCCCGAAATACCTTTTTTTACTAAATGATAGTATTCAGCATGTGAAATGAAAAATTTATGAGATATGGCTTGTACAAACTCATAAGATCATCATCACAGTGTGTTAAATATTCCATATAAAAGGAATCTTCTATACACATAATAAAGAATAAGCAATCAAATCTTTATATCCATATTGCCATATTTTACATTTAATAATTCTACAAATTCAGTCAGGGGGATTCGACTCCCCCCTCCCCGAACTCTGCATTGTTTACTTTTTCCCTAAGCGGGGGACACAAAATCTCTGAATTAGCTTGAAAACTATCATTCCGGACACAAAAGTAAAAGGCGAGAAGTAATATTAATCCATGCAGTAGGTCACTTCTGCAGCAGTGGGGAGATCTTATCTAAATTAAGCTTTACACATATTAGAGATTCACAAGCACACAATGCCCGCTGAGTTATCAATCAGCCTGAGTCAGATGCACACATACACATGTATTGTAAACAAAACAGCTAGCCAAGACATGAAGTTTTGTTCTCTGTGTTCCAATTTGACTTTAAATTTTAAAAGTACATCTGATTATTAGGCCCATTGTTTTATTGTCTAAATATACTGTATCAAAACTTTTTTTCTGTTTTTAACCACCAGAATACCATCAAGTTTTCTCATCATATTGCAGACGCTTTGTTAGTAGGGAATTTCCTGTCTTAAAATTAGAATACATGCACAATGTATGAATACATATAGAAATCGGTATGATTATTTAGGTGACAGATCCTTAAGAGGAAATTAAAATGACAGACTTAAGTTGAATACAGAGTGATTGTGGACTATATTGTCAAGAATTATAAATTCTTTATAGTAAGTTTAATGAAAAACTATTTTCTTATTCGCAATGCTCATTTTCCTTTGCGGTTGTTTGTCAGTTGCACTTCCTGTCTTGGCCCACTGACATAGACTCGTTGATATAATCAACTCCCAAAAAGTGAAAGCACTATTGACAAACCATGCGGAAATTGTGGACTTACTCATGCACGCACATCAGTTTGCCCAGCGAAGGGACAGCAGTGTAGATTCTGCAAGAAACTTAACCATTTCCAGAGAGTGTGCAGAGCCAAGAAACGCGCGTCAGGACAGCACAGAAATTACAAACATGTGCGCGAAGTTGATTTCCGGCATGAGGCTGAATCAAGTGAGGAGGAATATATGTACTCGATTAATGGCAAAAAGGGACCTCAGAAAACTCTTAAAGTAAATGGTGTGTTGTGTGATTTTTCTCTTGGACACTGGTGCATCTGTTAATGTGTTAGATCAGACTACACATGTGAAAATCGGTAGTCCGAAGCTTGAGAAAGAGAGTAATCCCGCACTTGCACCCTATGGTGGAGGAAAGGAATTGACTGTGTTTGGAAGCTGCCAGCTAACAGTCGAGTGGAGAGGAGTCGTACAACCTCACAAATTCTATGCTGTAAAAGGCAATTATGGAGCCCTACTAGGGTATCAAACATGTTTGTCGTTTGGACTTGTTCAAGTTGATCATCAACTGTCCCCTATTGCTGACAGATATCCTGACCTGTTCGTTGGTATAGGAAAACTCAAAGACAGAACTGTGCGAATTCATGTTGATGAGTCTGTGAAACCCGTAGCTCAACGTAGTCGTCGAACACCATTTCATCTCAGACCGAAAGTAGAAGCTGAACTTCAGAAACTTTTGGTCGACGACATTATAGAGCGAGTGAAGGATGAGCCTACACTCTGGATTTCTCCTATAGTTTGTGGTCCTAAGAAGAATCCGGAAGAAATCCGTGTTTGCGTTGACATGCGAGAGGCCAATAACCCATAATCAGAGAGCGTCATCTCATGCCCACCATAGATGAGCTTATTCACGACTTAAATGGAGCAGCCGTGTTTTCCAAACTGGATCTTCGACAGGGCTATCACCAGTTGGAATTGGAGCCTGCTAGTCGCTCGATCACAACATTCAACACACATGTTGGAATATTTAGATACAAGCGCCTCAACTTTGGAGTGTCCGCTGCCTCTGAAATTTTTCAAGAGACAATCCGTAGTGCTATCCAGGGAGTACGTGGAGCAAAGAACATATCAGATGACATTCTGGTATTTGGCAAAACTCAAGAGGATCATGACGCCGCCTTGACGGAAACTTTCAAAGCGCTTCAGGACAGTGGACTAAAGTTGGATCTTCCCAAGTGTGAGTTCAACACGGACCGAATCACCTTCTTTGGACTAGTATTTAGTAAGGCTGGTATCTCACCTGATCCTGGGAAAGTCACAGCGATTCGAGAAACGCAGCAACCGTCAAACGTAAGTGAACTTAGGAGTTTCTTGGGAATGACTGCCTACTGTTCGAGGTTCATTCCTGACTATTCCACTGTGAGTGAACCACTGCGCTGTCTTACTCGTTCCGATACTGACTGGCAATGGACGTCTGAACAGGAGAGTGCATTTGACAAGCTTAAAACTTTGTTGTCCAGTGACATTGTGATTGCTTACTACAACCCAAAGAAACCCATCGAAGTTGTGGTTGACGCCAGCCCTGTTGGCCTAGGGGCTATACTTACACAAGAGGACAACGTAGTTGCTTTCGCTAGCCGATCACTGAGTGGACCAGAGTCGCGCTACAGTCAGACAGAGAGAGAAGCATTGGCGATCATACGGGCTTGTGAGCATTTTGATATGTACTTGAGAGGAGCACCACAGTTTCGTGTCGTAACTGATCACAAACCTCTGTTAGCCATTTGGAAGCGCCCAAAGCATCCGCTAAGGATTGAACGTTGGGGACTTAGACTTCACCATACAAGCTAGAAATTACTTACCGACCAGGAAAGGACAACCCGGCAGACTACATGTCGCGTCATCCTGTGAAGAGCCACACTACATCCAGAGAGGAAGATATGGCTGAGAAATACTTACATTTCATTGCACAGGAAGCAACCCTTCGATCAATGAGTTTAGATGAAGTCAAGATAGCCACCATCGCATACAAGACCATTTCTAAGGCCATAGAATTGGTCAGAACAGGGAGATGAAAGGAGATCAAATCTATAAACGACAGCGAGATCGACATTCTGGAACTCCAGTCTTTACGTAATGTCCGTGACGAACTGGTTGTACACTCAGATAATGTCCTTCTGCGAAATGGATGCATTGTTCTACCTAAGTCACTCAGAACACGTGCGGTCAACATTGCACACGAGGGACATCAGGGCGTAAGTCGTACAAAGGCATTCTTGCGTTCAAAGACTTGGTTTCCTGGCCTGGACGTTGCCGTAGAAAATGCTCTTAAACACTGTCTAGCGTGTCAAAGTATAACAGACATGCAGATTCACTTTGAACCCCTACAGATGTCAGACATGCCGTCGGGACCTTGGGAGAACCTCAGCGCCGATTTTTGTGGCCCACTTCCCACTGGTGAATATTTGTTCGTAGTGATTGACGAATACTCACGGTTTCCTGTTGTTGAAATCATGAAGTCAACTTCCGCTAGTGCGACTGTACCTGTATTGGACAAATTGATATCTACGTTTAGCATACCAAAGGTCATAAAAACCGATAACGGAAGCCCATTTAACTCTCATGCCTTTAAGGAGTTTGCCGAGAACATTGGTTTCCATCATCGGCGCATCACTCCAAGATGGCCGAAAGCTAATTCCCAAGCTGAATCGTTTAATAAGCCAATGATGAAAGCTGTTCGCGCCGCACACATAGAAAGAAAGAAGTGGAAGCAAGAGCTATTCAAATTTCTTCGCCAGTACAGAGGAACGCCTCACCCATCGACTGGATTTGCGCCGCTCTCACTTCTGTTCAATCGCGAAACTAGGACCAAACTTCCTCAAGTTCCGACACGTATATCAAATGCTGTCGACGAGTGCGCCAGACAGAATGATGAAGTTGCGAAAAGGAAGATGAAGATGAACGCAAAACTCAACAACCCACCTGATGAACTTCATTGCGGTGATGTCGTCCTCATGAGGAATGAACAAAGGAACAACAAGCTCGCCCCGAATTTTGACCCACAACCGTATACCGTTATGGCCAAGAAGGGAAGCATGGTGTCCGTCTCTCCGGAACCAGGAATGGAACGACTTACCACTCGTAATTCATTATGTTTCAAACGAATCCCGAACACTCTCGCTCGTGGTACCGAGGAACCAGAACTAACAGAAGGAGAGGAACTGATACTCGAGCGCAAGTTGGAAAACACATCTGTGCAAGATGTCACTCCGAATGTGACACCGGGAACGAAACCGAAAACAGTGCCGTCATCAGACAAGCCTGTAATACCAGCCAGAAATGAAGCGGAACCGTACACCACGCGATCGGGTAGAATCGTACGGAAACCTGCAGCTTTGAAGGACTTTATGAAATAAACTTGCATATTGTTAATGTTTTGGTTTTAAGTTTGATGTAAAATTTCTAGTCAATTTTGCAAAGTGTCTCAATTCGTAATTCTAGTCAATTTTATTGCAAGTGTAATTTTCTTGTTGTGTTAAATTGTATTTGTAGAAAAATCTGTGTGCTGTCAATTTCAATTTTTCATTTATTACCAAATTTCATTTCTGAGAAAAGGAGGAATGTAATAACTGCATATTATTCATTTACACTATTGTTACTATGTTAATGGAACTATTTCTTATTGTGTAATGTTCAACCTTATTACTCTCTAATTTCCCGCCGTTATTCCACATGCTTTGTGTATGCGTATGAATATCAACTTACTGAATAAAATGTCAGCATCCAGTGTACACATGTGTTCGTGAATGTCTCACAATATCTAGGGCCTACCCAAGTATTACACTAATCAAAAGTCAAATTCATTACACCCAATAGTTAATCACTCTTAAATTTAATTTATAGGGTAACCAATTTTTACCTATTTATTTGTTTAAGTTCCTCTGAACAGAACAACACTTACTAAATTTCCATAAATTATTTACTAAGAGCCTAATTTCTATTATTTTGGTAAGTCGTTTGTGTTTGTGTTTTTTTTTCTTTTTGGAGAATTTGTAATCATAATTGTAAATAATATTAAATCTACTGCTAAATTTTCACAAAAAATAGGTAAAATTGGAATCACCCTATAAATTAAATTTAAGAGTGATTAACTATTAAGTGCAATGAAGTTGACTTTTGATAAGTTTATATTTTTTTGATTTTGTGTTTCCCTTTCCCTGCAAGTTTAAGCACTAGAAATATA